GTGCTAATCGGAGGTGTGTGGGCGAGTTGGTGAGTGGATGAGTTGGTGAGTGTGTGGGTGAGTGAGTGGGTGAGTGAGTGGGTAAGTGCGTGGGTATGTATGTTCAACTTCTTTTGCACCGTACGTATAGACAACCGTGCTAATCGGAGGTGTGTGGGCGAGTTGGTGAGTGGATGAGTTGGTGAGTGTGTGGGTGAGTGAGTGGGTAAGTGCGTGGGTATGTATGTTCAACTTCTTTTGCACCGTACGTATAGACAACCGTGCTAATCGGAGGTGTGTGGGCGAGTTGGTGAGTGGATGAGTTGGTGAGTGTGTGGGTGAGTGTGTGGGTGAGTGAGTGGGTAAGTGCGTGGGTATGTATGTTCAACTTCTTTTGCACCGTACGTATAGACAACCGTGCTAATCGGAGGTGTGTGGGCGAGTTGGTGAGTGGATGAGTTGGTGAGTGTGTGGGTGAGTGGGTGGGTGAGTGAGTGGGTAAGTGCGTGGGTATGTATGTTCAACTTCTTTTGCACCGTACGTATAGACAACCGTGCTAATCGGAGGTGCTACGACGGGAAGGTCGCGTGTGAGAGGAGGTGGGTACACCCCACCTCCTCTCAAACCACGTCCGGTCAGAGGAGGGATGTCAGGCAAAACCTATTGAGACTCCTCTAACGCTGTTATTACTGCGCCCAGAATTCCATCAAACACCGCGTTTGTTGGTAGTGCTTTACTCCTCAAGGACCCTGTCGGGACTCGTTCTCCGCAATATCGATGTTTGTCTCTCTGCATTGCTGCTGCTGCTGCTGTGTTCACGCAGCACCACGGATCTGCCGTGTAACACAGCCCGGCTGCTGGCTAAACGGAATCATCTGTGCAAAAAAAAAGGTCAAATCAACTTAAACTTAAAGCATCCGGTTCAACTCCATTTCCTTTATGCAAATACAAATATTATTGCTACCGTGTGACGATGAGAGTATTAATCAACAGCGCTGTGTATATCCACTGCTGGATGAAAACTGTGTCAGTCATGGGAAATTGCTATTTGACCATACTTCACCAGGCTGGTGAGTGCGGTGAGTGAAGGTGAGGATAGGGTCCTTGTGGGGTGGGTAGGATGACCGAGAGGGGCGGTAATGGAGCGGTCAGCGCACTGCTCTGTGGATCCTTTGACCCGAGTTCGATTCCTGTTCACGGCCAACACCAGTGACAATTATCTAAACCGGTCCTGGGACCCCCCTAGGTCGACTCAGCCTCAAATGAGTAGTACCTGGTGCGGCGTGTTAACATGGCCACTCGGGAGACAAAGGCGGTCGGGCGTGGTGCTGGCCCCCCCACCCCCTCGTGTGCCGTGCTGGCCTTCATCGATCCTCCCTAAGGGGGCGTCCATAAATGACGTCACGCGATTTTGAACGATTTTACACCCCCCCCCCCTCGTCACACGACGTCACAAAAAGTCTGACCCCCCCCTCGAATATGACGTCACAAAGCTCTGCCCCCCCCCCAAAAAGAAAACATGCTTCAAATCGCTTTAAACTATTGTCATTGTAGTGCGTATTTAATGTGGCGCTGCACTCTGATGTTGTAGGAGTGTTGTTATAACAATTATAGTGTTGTTATAACAATTATATATTTATTTAAAGTTGCGCATTTTGATGTAACGTCACAAATGTCTGACCCCCCCCCCCCCCCAGGTGCGTGACGTCATTTATGGACGGCCCCTAACATGATTTTCCCCGACAGTCTGTTCAGGCTACACGGAGGATGGTTATCGTTGGGATGACCCAGGACAAGTTCAGACATCACTGGCCAGCAGAGGTGTGGACTCGAGTCATGTGACTTGGACTCGAGTCAGACTCGAGTCATGAATTTGATGACTTGAGACTCGACTTGGACTTGCATAACAATGACTTTGTCCCACCTCTGAGGTGTGGACTCGAGTCATGTGACTTGGACTCGAGTCAGACTCGAGTCATGAATTTGATGACTTGAGACTCGACTTGGACTTGCATAACAATGACTTTGTCCCACCTCTGCTGGCCAGCCCTGATGTCATCCAGGGCTGGAAATTGAACGGAGCTCACCGGGTTCATAGTGCAGTGGCGCTTACCACCCCTTACTCACCCCTTTGACGTGGGCAATTTAAAGGGCGTTGTACCATGGACTCAACAATCACAACAACCACAGCAACAACGAACACGACTCACGGCTGTAACCGATAGCGTCACGGGGGGGGGGGGGTGGTGTGGGGTCATTTAAAGCGCTTTGAAGCACGACTGCCAGAGTCCGAAGTCGAACTCAGGTGCTTCCTGCAGCAAAGGCACAAGTGTTGAACCACTGCGCCACCACTTCTGATGATGATGATGATCCCACTGGGATTTTTGCACAGCGTTGGTGTACGGTGCTTTTTTTCTGGAAGACTTTGCAGTTTTTTCCTGGATTTTTCTGTTTGCGCATAGTCACTTTAAGATGTTTTATTGTTCGTGTTTTTGTTTTTTGTTTGTTGCGGTTGCACCCGATTCAAGAGCCGAATGGCTCACATGGCTTTACCAAATAAATGAAATGAAACTGAAACTGGATTTGATTGTTATGGGCAGGGGGTACTTCGCGCTTGTACCCCGATAATCCAGACTCCGAGTCAAAGTCAACCGAGCAGCGTTGCGGAATTTGTTCAGCGAGAGATTAAGCCCTGGGTATCAGGATAATAAACAAAAAACACCAATTTTGTATTGGCGACGTTTCGGGCATTGGCCCTCCTTCATAGCACACACACAGAGAGAGAGAGTCCGGTAGAGAGACAGAGTGGACAATACGAGTTGGGGACTGTGTAATAGACATCGTACACTCTTGGACAAAGGTGCGTCTCAACAACACGGTGGTGGGTGGGGGATGGGGGGGGGGTCACATCGCCTGGCAACACGGACCCATGGCCACCTCCACCACCACCACCCCCGTGGACGTCGCCGCTATTTATAGCGAAGGTGAACAACTGGGAAAGGGTAGAGAACAGCAGGCGCGCAGGGAGAGGGAGAGAGAAACCCGGCACTTAAACAGGGTGCACGAAAAACTATGCGCGCGAACACAGGTACAACAACCACACGCTCACGCGCGCAGAGAAACACCACGAGTTCGGATAATACAATCACGCGGAACGTTTCCCATGTGCCGCCGCTTGCTATCGGAAGTACGTATCCGACTAGCACTTTGGAAGTACGTATTCAACTAGCACCACAGAAGTACGTATTCAACTAGCGCTTCGGACAGTTGACGGTAAACTGGCAAGACAAAAATTTCATATTTGGCAAAGTCTTCACTTTTAGCGCTGGGTTTATTCTTCCATCGCCAAAATGACGTCTCGCGCGAACCCTTTAATGGGTGTGAGCCGGGTCTTGTCGTGTTCCCTCTCTCTCTCGGTCGACTAAGTCGTCCGCAACAGCGACACAAGTTTCGACGAAAGTCGCATTCACGTTGAATGGCCTTTGACCAGAATTCTCGTCAAAGGTGATCCAGCAGACGGACGCACGGACAGATGGACAGCGCTAACGCATTCTACTAAAACTAAACTTTTTATTTATTTTACCAGGTAAGGCCCCACTGAGCTATGCAGCTCACTTTTTTCAGAAGCGACCTGGCTATCACAGATGATAGCTCGGCGAAGTGACTTATCATCACAATGTGGACATTTATAGGAGCCAAACACTCTAAACGCACGTTTCTAAATGTGGAGGGGAAAACCGGAGAAGAATCAACGCAGACCACGGGGAGAGAGAGAGAGAACACACAAACGCCAAATATACAGCAGGTCGGGATCTAACCCACGACCTCCTGCATACCGGGCGAGTGAGTTAAGATCTCGCCACTGCAGCACCCTTGGCTGAACAGCAGGAGATAGAGGCCTTTATTGTAACTTGGGTGCCTCACTCACCAATTGACAGGCCCTTTGCCGATCCACTGCTGGATGAAGGGCCTCCCCACACCGCAACAGATCGTCACGGGGGGGGGGTGGGGGAGTGCGGTTATTTTCTGACCATACTTCCCCACGCTGGTCAGTGCGGGTTGGTGATGATGGCCTAGTGTCTTTGAAACCGATTGGGCCACGACAGAGACCGCAGCCTTCTTTGAGGGCCTCGTCTCACCGGTGTCAGACCAGAACGCCAAAAGGCGAACAGGTTAATGCAGTCGTAACTTGATTCCTCGCAGAAGCTGACTATTTTGTGCTTGAGCATCGTAACGCCTCCTGTTGTAATGCCAGAAAGGGTTAAAAAAAACACCCTATTCTAATTTTCTCAAAATACAATGAAAGAAAAAAAATGTCCAAAAATAACCAAACCTCGCCCAACGCGGTCGCTAAACAATGCGGTGTCGGTGCGTTTGGGGAGATGTAGTGTAGCGGTTAGCGCGCTGGGCTACGAACCTGGCGACCCGGGTTCAATTCCCCCGCTCACAATTATCTGAACTGGTCCTGGGCCTCCCATAGGTCGACTCAGCCTCAAATGAGTACCCGGTGCGGTGTGCAAACATCGCCACTGGGGAGACAAAGGCGATCGGACGTGGTGCTGGCCACCCACCCCCTCGTGTACCGTTCTGGCCTTCATAGGTGCTCGCTAACAGGACTTGCCCCTACAGTCTGCCAAGGCTACACGGAGTTATTTTGTGTTAGTTTATACAGGTACAATTGTATATATGCGGGCATATCGGTGTGTGCGCGTGTCAGATTAAGTACGATTGCCAAGTATTGCCTTGCGGCAGTTTGGCACAGAATATAATAACCATGCCCCTGCTGCCTTAAAACTCGCACAGCACAGACAGAGTGTCCTTGGCTTAAAACTAACTCACATTGTGGTCAATATTAGACGAAAACGTGTGGTGGCGCGCTTGCTTCGCGAGCTGCCACCCCTCTCCACGTCTCTGCATCTTCCCCTCCTCCATCGCTCTCCCCTCCCCCACCAAATCCCTCTTCCTCCTCCCTCATCTCGGCTTACCCCCTCCCCCACCCCAACAGCAGCAGCAGCAGCACCACCACCACCGTCATCACCGCAACCAGCCACCACCAACAAGGCAATGTCCGTTTCTGCGTTGAGTCACACTCGCATCATCGCGCACGTGTGCGGCCCCGTCATGCACAGCGGAGTGCGGTTCGCCTGCTGATGCTGCTACGACTGCTTCTGATGATGATGATGTTGTTGCCGCCGCTGCCGATGGTGATGCTGCTGCGCTTTTAAGTGGCGCCCTGCAACATCGAACCTCGTCGACCTCCGTCGGGGAAGCAACCTTCACAGCGCACGGCTTCATCGGAGAAAGGGGGGAATTGTTCAACCTTCGTTCCATCTCTCGCTCTCTACACCCCCCCCCCCCCGCATTCTTGCCGCCGCTCCTTTGGATGATCATCGTATTTTTGTTATCGATGTTGTTGCTGCGACTGCCGCTGTAGTTGCAGTTGGCTCCAAGCGATCTTCGATTTGGTGTGCTTGAAATCTCGGACGGCCCACTGAGAGAGACGAGAGAGAGAGGGCGAAGAGAGAGAGAGAGGCGAGAGAGAGAGAGAGGAGAGTTCAGTCGGTCGCCGTTCAAGGAAAGATAAAAACATCCGAACGGGCGCACGAGCGAAGACGCGCGGTGGACGATCACCGTAGTTGGTGATCTGCGTTCCTGCGGGCGACGTGGCGGCGAATTCTTGACGCGTGGTGCTCGCCAAGCCCCCCCACCCCCTCATCCCTCGCCGGAGAATCTTTGGTGATCGCAAGGACCGCGGTGGATTGAGCAAGCGAAGAGGTGGGACGCGCGGAAGACGAGGTTTAATAACGACGAGGAAATCAGGAAGAGGCGCAAGGAGGAAAGGGGGAGGCACGTTCGGACCCCCCCACCCACCGCCCCCTTCCCGGAGCAGAATTGTGAAAGGGACGAATCGAACCGCCGCCGCTACTTGAGCACCGATCCCATGGTGCAGTCGTCTTCGTCGATGTCGCGCTGATGGTGGCGCTGATGGTGGCGGTCGCGGTGATGTGATGACGGGCGCAGCCATCCTGTTCCACTGCCGACGGTGGTGATGTGAGAGTCGCTGATGTGATGTAAAGATTGGGAGCCCGACGCGGAGCAATGGAGCCTATCAGCAAGTGGTCACCTCGACAGGTGGTGGAATGGATGAAAGGTGAGAGCTGTTGTCCTCGTTCGTGCTGCTGCTGATGATGCTGATGATTGTTGCCGATGATGTTGCTCTGGCAGATACGTTCCATCTGCTGCGAAGGAGCTGGGTTGAAGCAAACATTGCCCATCCATGTGGTGATGTGGCTGATGCCGCCGCTGCTGCTGATGATGGCGTTGGTGTTGCCGTTGTTGTTGATGTTGTTGCTGCTGATGATGATGATGTGGATGTAACCTTCTACGAAACATTTTGAGCCTGGAGCTTGCAATGTGGGCGAGCGTCGGGGCCGGCCCAACAGGGTACCATAGGTTTCGGGGCTGATTCGTGGGCGCCAGAAGGCAACGCAGCGACATCCGCGCTTGTCCGTGGTGAAGTATGGTCAAAGCAAACCCCGCGGTATCACGCGGGCGTGGGAGGCGGTCATCCAGCAGTGGATTGACTGAAGGGCTTGTGCACGTGTATTTTATTGTGTGTGTGTGACGACTCTGCACATTGCTTAGAATCGGCTGCCGGGTCTTACTTGGTCCCATCATGGTCCCCCCCCTCCCTCCCCATTCATGGTCGATAAATTCGGTACCATTTTGTGTGAAGCCAAAATGCGGTTGTCCAGTGGATAGACTGGGGGGCATTAAGGTCGGACTGGTCTATTTCTTTTTTTTTAAATCCTGATTTATATAAAAACAACAGCAATTCAAGCTGTCGAGAGAAGTGCGACTTGGACAGGGACACGTGACGGCTGCAAGGGATGATGACGACGACGGACGATGGTCGAGGAGAATAACGGGGAGTGGCAGCCAAGGTTTAGAACGCACCCGAGACGAGGAGATGGAGCGACGAACTCGGCTCCGTGTGGAGAGAGAACAGCCGGTTGGTGGTAGATCGCTGCTGCGCGAGATCGCGAACGGTGTGGCGGCTTGGGGAAAGAGGCCTTCATCCAGCAGTGGATTGACCGAGGGTCGATGATTCTCAAGCAATGATACCGGAGTTTCTAGTGTAGAGGGCATTACATTGTGCGTCCGTGAGCCGGTCTTAATAGGTGCTCGCGAATCACTTTCCTCTTTATGTCTTTACCGAAGGAAGATGGGGGGCAGGGGGGGATGGGGTCCTTGCCTTGGCCGGCCTTTAATAGGTTCTCGCTACCCGCACTTCCCCCGACAGTCTGTCAAGACTATACGGGTGAGCTTTGTGTTTTTTTGTTAATGGTAAAGCAAGCACATCAAGTATGCCAGGTATGGAATGCGGTCATGGAAGCCCCCACTGTACGAGTTGGAACGCTCAAATCCACGCACACGTGGCCCGTGTTTACGCCAATTCGCGTCCTAGAAGGAACGTCCTGGGCCCTGCCATTGGAACGTGGAATGTTGCACCACGGCTGCAATGGAGTTAGTTTTGAGCCAAGGACACTGTGCTGTGCGAGTTTTAAGGCAGCAGGGCATGGTTATTATATTCTGTGCCAAACTGCCGCAAGGCAATACTTGGCAATCGTACTTAATCTGACACGAGCACACACCGATATGCCCACATATATACAATTGTACCTGTATAAACTAACACAAAATAACCTCGTGTAGCCGTAACAGACTGTAGGATAAAGTGCTATTAGCGAGCACCTATGAAGGCCGGCACGGCACACGAGGGAGTGGGTGGCCAGCACCACGCCCGGTCGCTTTTGTCTCCTGAGTGGCGACGTTTACTACACAGCACCAGGTGCTCGTTTGAGGCTGAGTCGACCTAGCGGAGGCCCAGGACCGGTTCAGATATTCGTCACTGGTGTTGGCCGTGATCGGGAATCGAACCCGGGTGGCCGCGTTTCTAGCGCAGCGCACTACCGCTCCCCATAATACACGCACACACACACGCACACAGACCTACAGAGACATACACACAGGCATGTATACACACGCACAGGCGTGTACAAAGACAAAGACCCCCCACCCCCCGTATAGACTTGCATACCCGCTGGGGCAAGTGTGTGCTATTAACGAGCGCCTTTGAAGGTCGGGGCGGCGCATGGGGCGTGGGGGGTGATGTGGCCAGAACCCCACGCTCGCTCGGCCGTCTTTGTCTCTCCCCCCCCACACACAGTTGCAGATGTTTACGCACAGAACCGAGTTCTGATTTTGAGGTTGATTCGACCCTATGGGGGGGGGGGGGGGGCTCGCCAACACACATTCAAAGTGTCACTCGCCACTGATGTTAGCCGTGACCGGGAGTCGAACTCGGGTCGCCCGCTTCGTAACGCGGTTGTGCCACCTTACGTGTACATACAAAACAAAGCCAAAGATCCCCCGTATGGACAGCCACCAACAGACTTATGATGGGGCAAGTGCTTTTAGCGAGCATCCGTTAAGGCCGGAAAAAGGCGACGCGAGGCGGTGGCCAACACTACGACCCGGCCGCCTTTGTCTCCCCATTACTGCTTTTTTCACACACCCCACCAGGTGCAAATTTAAGGCTGAGTTGACCTTAGGGGATGCCACTTTGTTATTGGTCGCAAGCGGGTCACCGAACCCGGGTGGCCGGGGATTGGAGCGCAGTGCGCTATCCACCGCGCCACCGCTCCTGAACCACACACACGCACACAACCGCGTAGAGATACACACACGCACAAGACCTTTGGAGTAAGTGCGCGCACCTATGAAAGCCTGCACGGCAAACGACGCGGGTGGCGGGAGAGGGGGGCAGCACTGGCCCGGCCGCCTTTGTCTCCCTAATGGCGATGTTTACACACCGAGGCCGATTCGAGACTCCCACACACACACACGCGCGCACGTGCAGAGGTGGCTTCTTGTCGTCCCACGATGTGTGGGTCTCTCCTAAAACAGACTCGCTGGGCCATCACCGGCTCGGAAAGGTCAACCGTGTATCTGATAATCAGACCATATGTGTCCTGTCGACCTAAACCCGTCTGCACGTCTATTATTACTCAATGGATAGAACCAAAGAGTATGGATTCCTGCAGTCACGAAAGCTTCAAATCAAGATAATTCAATGGACATTATCTAACCACCTGGCCCTCCTCGCTCCAACCTCTCTTTGTCGATTAATAAACTCGCGTCGGTCGGAATTGTCTGTTATCTGTGAAACATTCCATGTGTCTATCATGCAGTCCATCTCACGCAAAATCTAACCTTCTGCCTATCTCTCGTTCCATCTGTTTGTCTTTTTGTTTGTCTTTTAATCTACGAAATGTGTGCGCCCATACGACTGTCTATCCAATGTCTCTCGTTCTGTGTGTTAGTCTGTCAGTATGTCGACACATACCTCTCTCTAATGTGCGTTCCTACCTTATACATCTATCCGCCTTCTCAAACTCGATTACCATAATCACATTGCATGGCTCTGCCCCCCCCATAGTCCCCACTCCCACCCATAACGCGATACATACTTGTCTATTTACGAACATTCGACTTGTGAACAAACCTCTGGAACCTGCAGGATTCCCAGTTATTCACAATAACTTGGATCCGTTATTGGCGCCGTCCTTCTCGTATCGCACGGCTATCGTCACGAAGGACGCCGTGGTGGCTAGGAGATGGTAACTACCTCGCCTGATATGCAGTAGGTCGTGGGTTCGATCCCGACCCTGACGCCTACTGCTGTATATTTGGAGTTTGCGTGTCTCTCTTTCATCATCATCACGGTGGCTATGAGATGTTAACTACCTCGCCTGGTATACAGGAGGTCGTGGGTTCGATCCCGACCCTGACGCCTGCTGCTGTATATTTGGAGTTTGCGGTATCTCTCTCTTATCATCATCACGGTGGCTAGGGGATGTTAACTACCTCGCCTGGTGTACAGGAGGTCGTGGGTTCGATCCCGACCCTGACGCCTGATGCTGTATATTTGGAGTTTGCGTGTCTCTCTCTCTCTTATCATCATCACGGTGGCTAGGGGATGTTAACTACCTCGCCTGGTGTACAGGAGGTCGTGGGTTCGATCCCGACCCTGACGCCTGCTGCTGTATATTTGGAGTCTGCGTGTCTCTCTCCCCGTGGTCGCGTGGATTTTTCTCCAGGTCCTCCCCCCGTCCCCCCACATTTAAAATCGACGTCCCCGCGTTTAGAGTAATTGGCCGCTATAAATCTCCGCACGATGATGAGCCACTTGAGCTATCATTGCGTGTGCGGCTTCTGACAAAAAGACCTCTGTAGCTCAGCGGGGCCTTACTTTGTAAAATAAAAAAAATGTTGAATAGTTTAGTTGAAGGCAGGCACCGCTGTGTTTCCCAGCCTGCGGTGGCTTTCCAGGAGGAGGCGATGCTGCTGATGTTGCTGCTGCTGCTGCTGTGTCCTCGGGCCTAGGAGGAGGGGATTGAGGGGAACCCCCAGTGGCAGCTGCCCCTGTGTGGCAACAAGGCTGTCATCACTAACACCGCTGCGTTGTTTCAGACACAGGCTACAGTAGCTCCACAGTGGTGGGGCGGAGGAGCGGTGTTGCTGTGTGAGTGCGAGTAATCCCAATTGGGGAGCGGTAGTGTAGCGGTTAGCGCGCTGCGCTACGAACCCAGCGACCAGAGTTCGATTCCCGCTCCTCGGCCAACACCGGTGACGAATATCTGAAGCGGTCTTGGGCCTCCCCTACGTCGACTCGGCCTCAAACGAGTACCTGGTGTGTAAAAACATCGCCGCTGCGGAGACAAAGGCGATCGGGCGTGCTGTTGGCCACCGACCCCCTCATGTGCCACAGTGCCGGCCCTTCGTTGGTGCTGCTCGTTTAACAGCACTTTCCCCAGCAGTCTGTTGAGGCTATACCGGGGGGGGGATCTTTGTCTTTTTTGTAATCCCAATTGAATAATTAGTGGTGTCATTTTTTTTTCTAATTTGGCACACACACAAAAACACAATTGTGAGCATGACACCGGCACACGATGGCCGCCTCCTTCTTCCAACGATGCCTGGGGGTAGTTTTTTTTGGACACGTGCCGTGAGCGAAGCCAAAGTCGCGCATTATTTTTCACGGTTGTTACACCCCCGAAGGTAGTACTAATTATCCGTAATAAAGGT